CAGGAACCTCTCATGTCCTATCCAGTCAATATGTGATCCTATGATTATAGCACGTTTTCTAATGATAAATGTAATTGGTAAGTTTTCTTTCAAATAATTATTTCAATTAATTATAATTTGTCTTTTATTTTAACAGATCAATTATTTGAGCATTATAATCAAAATCATAGTAAAATTTTAATAATTGGTGATCTTAAATTAAATATCAAAAAATTTCAATCATCATCAAGAAAAAGTCAACGATCAATAACAAGAACTAGAAATATTGGTGCAAATGAACAACATCTTTCAATCAGTATTTGATAAATAATGAATGATTTTATTTTCTATGTAAATCTTTATTTTTTAATATGTTGATACGATATTTTATATTTGTTTACAACATAAAAGATCATATTGTAATATGAAATTCATTGGAAACACATGAAATTATATTTAAATTTATTTGATTTTGATCAATTATTAATTTCAATTCAAATTGAATCTATAGAAGTAACTTGTATTAGTCACACATTAAACACAGGTAAATATTGTGAAAAGAGAACAACAAGTTTTTTTTCTAAAATAATAGATTATTCAACATATCAACGTTGATTTATTGAAATGAATAAACAACACGATATTTTAGTATATAAAATGAATGATGAATTATATTCAAAATCAATGATTAATAATGAAAAACAAACATCAGTTGCTAAACTTGTTAATCAATTATGTTTTTTTTTCCAATTAGACATTTGCTCAATGTGTTAATAATTTGATTATCCTACTGTAAGTATGTTTAATGCTTGTTTGAGACTTTTTTTTTGTAAAGTTTCAGTTCAGTAAAATACATTTATTTTATAATCCAAAATTATTTTCAATGTTGTAACAGTAGGAGGACTCAGATGAATAGGATAAATCTGATGAAGGAGCTTGTAACAGAGTTTAGTTAACGTGGCTTCAATTGGCTATGGTCTCAAAGTTTTAGTGAAAGTTATCTGATAGATATGAAGATTTTACTATTGAATTGTTGAAACAAAACGATATGAAATTTTAATTTTTTTGAAACCAACAAAAGACTAGAATATTATCAGACTCGAAAATATATCAAGTAGAACACTTTACTAAGTAGGTTAGACATACAAACGTTTTAGAGTCTTTATATATCAGCGATTGAAATTATACAATCACATAATTACCTCAAAAGCAAAGTTCGAAGTTAAAGTACGAATTCTGTACATATCTAGTACGAAAGAGATGTTCGGTTTTTCATTATGATATGAGATCAATTGTACTCTCGAATGAGTTTTTCTTTAATCTTTGAAGATTTCTGATTAAATAAAAATTTTCTAATTGATATGCAATTCTTATCTCTATATGACTTGTAATGCATTAAAATCTATCGAACTTCGAGATAGACGATCTACATTTATGTGATACATATGCAAATTTCTTTCCTTGCTACATTAATTAAAAAGAACAATTCATCTTTTAAGACTATTATCATTATCAAATTCATTTAATAATTCTTTTATTAATGAATATTCACTTGTATCAATTGATTCACAAGGTAGTTCAAGGTCAGATTAGAATATTAAATCGTCTCTTATTTTTGATAAAAATATTTTTTCTTTTTGTTTTTAAATATATTCAATTAGGTATATTAGCAGAATTACTTTCTACATTTCGATTATGTCTTTAGGATAATAATGCACATGTTATACATTTACAACCATAGGAATTGAACTATTAGAAGATTCTACTCAACATAGTACAAGTTCTTATATTCTTGCTAAAGTAGACAAATGAAACTTATGATTACAATCCACTATTTATGTGTATAAAATAGGTTGCTCTAGCTCAAATTGTGCGGAATATTGATTTTCTTGAATACTAACTTATCTTGAACAACAACAATAACAGATAAAAAAAACAGTAAACTAAAACTAATCACATATAGAAGATAAAAACAATATCTTGTTTTTTTTTTGTTTTACTTTTATTTTCAGAATCGATCATGACTTGATCATTGTATTGACACTATCTTTCTATTTCTTACTGATGATGATACAAGTGTTCGTCCAGCAGCTACTTTAACTTTTGCTAAGTATGTCAATTGTAGAGATGTTAGTTAACTAGATAGTTTTATTTTTGAAGTTGAATGCATAAGTCGATTTTATTGTATTAAGTTAGCTACTAGCTACTTTTTGATTTTAAGGTTTATTGATCACAATTCATTTTTTTAGTATATCAATGGTCAATACATTATTTACCTAAATGGATCAATTCTTCCTGTCAATGGATGCATAAAATTCATTATTCATTGTAACAAACAAATACTTCTGTAATTATATTCAATGATGGAATGCAATATGAAACAATATCATGTTTACCAACATCAATACTTGATTGTTTAGCTCAAACATCCACTCGAATATAAATTGTTTGTTATTTTTGTCTTCTATATAAGTTGAATGTTTAGAAGGTATTTATGCTCTTTCAAATATTTTAGGATCAACAACAATTCGATCATTTTTTTTTCATAATCAATATGATGAACTTTGTTTACTTATACATCTATTTATATGAAATGATCTTAATAATTTACAATTATTACTCGATAATAATAATAATTTAATATTTTGAAGTAAAGAAAAGAAAAGATATTTATTATGTTTCTTTGAATTCTTTCTTTTTATTTGAATACTTATCAGATCTTAACAAATAACTTCACAATCATCATTTTTTTTGGACAGAAGATCATTTTCTATAATTGATATTTCAACTTTCGTAGAAGAAAGGAGTTCTAAAGTTTTAGATTTGAAGAATGTATTGGATCATGTCTTGTCTGAATGAATTCATTTGTTTTTTTTTGTTATAGAGAATGATAAAGATTCATCAATAATATCAAACACAAACAAAGATACAAAAGTTAATTTTGAACGATTACTTTCAACAACATTATTTTCTATAAAATCAGTAGTAAGTCTTATTTCTACACAAGATTTATTAAAAAATTTGGAAGAAACACTTAATTATTTTAAATCAACGTTCAATGTACAAAAGAGGTAAAACTTCTTTTAAATAGTACATATTAGTTAGAAAATTTCAGTTATTACTCTTCTTCTACTAATTGGTTGAGCTAAAACCTTTAGGATGTCGTATTGGGTCTGAACCAGAAACTGGCTGGCAGGGCAAAAACGTTTATCCTGTGCCAAAAAAATTTAAAGAAAAGGCTAATTCCAGTTTAGTTTTTCTGATTAAACAATTGATTAAAATGCGAATGTTTTTAGTCGATTTTAATCTAATTATTTCATCTTCAATTCATTTTGATTGTCATTTCACAAATAATTTTTAATGAATTAAACCTTGTTTGTAAAATGAAGTTGATTAGAAACGTAATCGAGTTTTTTTTTCTGTTACATGTCTTAAGAAATCTGAATATGAACTGACTACTTCCTTAAAAATTTGATGAGCACAGAAAAAACTACAAGAAAGAAAAGTTGTCTTTCATTCAGAAGACATAATTTTAATCGATGAAATTAAAAGATGGTCGATTTTTATCAAACACAAGTCAAGAATAGAAGATCATATTTTATGTTAAAAGACCACGACGCACTTAAAAAATTTCATAAAACATAACAGAAGACATATGAGTTCTTTAAAATTTGATGTCGAAAATTCTGCTGACTTTATGAAATTCAGCACAACGAAACTTTGTTTTTCAGCTACAAGTTTATTTTTGCATTATAGGAAAGAATAAGTATAAATAAAAATAAATCTTTATATTTATAAAATGAAGATAGATGAATTATTTATTTTTAAAAATTAAAGAATAAAGAAAGATTTGTTCTGTTATAGATAAATAGACAAATACGTAGTATAACAACTGGATATGTGAAGCAATATTCTTTCTTGCCATGAATATCACTTCGACATGTCATACCATTAGAAAATCAAGCGAGTGCATGAAAAAAAGAATATATATGCAAAAAAAACTTGTTGCATAGTTCATATACATCTATGGTGTTTATTTTTGAAAAAATAAAAAAATTTTTAATCTTGATTTAAAAAATATAAAAAATTTATTGATGTTTATTTTATTAATATAAAAATTGTACTTATATTTATAAAATAAAATAAAGAAAATGTGATCCTAGTAATAAATAAATATAGTTTTGCAACTAAAATTACTTTCTTCTTTTTTCTAGGATGGGGTTTAGTCACTAAAAGTACCTGAGAATATCATTATTTTATTAAAACTTAAAATCTTGCAATAGACATACTCACTTTATAAGTATTATTCTACTCTGTCTATGCCCTATGCTCAGTTCTTAGGGCGGGTCAAGCAAAGAAATACTCTGTGATAGTCTCTTATCCAAAACTTGTCTGTGCACAGAATTTTAGATGGAAATCTTATAATCAAGATTTCAGGAATGGTCTAATCCAGAAAAAGAAAATTTCAATATAAGAATATCATAGTAACAGAAAAACTGATTTTGCAAATATTGACGGTTTTAATGATAGAATAGTTTATTGTGAAAGTGTCACATCTTTTCATATGTTTCTCTCTTGAAATTCGAAATTTGAAAATTATTTTTTTCTGTTAACACAACATTCATTTGAAAATATTCTTTTAATTTAGTTTTCATTAAACCTATACTAATTAGCAATCGTTTCATCATCATCTGCTGATACAAAATATTCATACAATAACTATTCGACAATTGATTATTTATTTGATTTGGTTCACGTTATATATCAAATATAAATAGTGATCAATCCATAGAATATAGTGCAATGCGAGAGTAAAATAAACAAAAAACAAACGAATTTGATCTATTCTGTCTTTTTTGTTTCCTATTTTAGTTTTTATTGAACTCGATTTACTTGTTCAATTACTTTTAATTCGTGTTAATTATAGTTGATTAAATGCTGATGAATTTTCGTTATATTTTTAATCTTTTCGTTTATTTTTTAAACAGCATTTTCTTACTCATATAATCTATCAACTGGAAATGATTGAAGAAACTATGCCAGATTATGATATATCATCACATTTTATTTATAGTATTGCTAAGTTTCTTGTTATGTTATCACATGATACACTTCATTCAAAACAAGTTATTTAAGTACAAGATTTAATAAAGCATTCTGATTAATTATTAGCAAGCGAACATAAACTTGAAACACATGATAGGAAGTAAAAACAAAAAGAATATTTTCGAGAAAAATAAGTTATTGCTAATATTCTTTATTTAGCTTTAGCAGAATTAGAACCAGTTGTATATGATTTATTTCTTGTTGAAACCTTACTTGAACTTGTTCGATATAATAAAGTAGTGCGATATTATAAGAAATAGTCACCATACGAATAATTAAAATTTCTAAAAAGTTACATTAAATGAGAGTGAACAAAAGATGTTCCTCTATAAGCTCTCAAATATCATAGAAACTCGAAAGTATGTATAGGTGTAATTTTTCTCCTCAATCAAACCCACACCTACACTCCAACGAATCAGTTATCTGAAAATAACTATATTGTTGATGCCAAGTGTTCGACAATATTTGGAAATAACAATATTCAGTTATATATTTGATAAAAGATACGACAATTAAAAGTTTGAAGGAAAAGTAGGCATCTTAATTATTGGAAATAAAAGAATCTTTTCATATCGTCTCTACGTACTATAAAAAGCAATAATAGAATTGATATTTTTATAAACTTTGCAATTGTTGATAGTGTTCGAAATGAAGGTAATAAATGAAAACGTTTTTCACGACAAATTGTCGATGTACTTCTTGTTCATCTTACTATTGGTTTATCTAAGGTTATTTTTCTTTTTTTAAAAATCTTCGAGTATACGTTACTGTTTCTTTTCAAATAGGATCAATCACTTTTGGATATTTATTCAACACAATTAACACTATTTGATGTTGTATCATCATTTAAATTACGACCAATTGATCCATTTGTTGTTGCTTTTCGAGCATCAACAATTAGAAATGTTAGTTTGTTTTTATTTATGAAATTTTCCTGTTGGTTACGAGATGAAACTTTTAGTGAGTAAGTATTCGCAATGATTTTATTTATAATTTAAAAACTACGATTCTTATTTTTGTTTTTAGAGCTCCTCTTCGAGTTTCACATGACGTAATAACACGAATTTTCGGAAAATAACGTGGTCAAATCAATATGACATTAGTTTCTCTGCATATTATGAAAATGGTAATGAATCAAAATAATAGTGTATTTGTAGACATGAATATGATAGTTCAACAATAGGAATATTATTTTTAGCTGAATTTGTCATCTTTGTAACGAGTACCAGAATGATTGATTTAAAAATTTCGATTTGAAACTTCAGAAAGAAGAAACTAACTGAACGGATAAAAACTAATTTCTATCAAAGTCAGAAGATCTTAAGCTCTCATCATAATCTATATGATAGTATCATATCACCCATTCATTTGAGAAGAAAACTTTCCTGCAATTCATTAATTACTAATGAGCTAGCGAAAAAACATTTGACTTTAAAAATTTCTGTGTTTTTATAAGATGTACAATTTGATTTTAGCTAAAAAATTTCGAACAATGGTAAACGATTTTCGTCAATGATTATTTCATGATGAAATTGTATATCGTCTTGATACATTTTCATATTTAACTAGTTTAAGTGAATATTTTATATTCCCATCATCATTTTATATACGATTATTATTATTACAATAGACACATGTTCTGAATATACTTGATAATGCGCACAAGAAGCATGATGGTCATCAATATAAACACCATCATCATTAATAACACACTTATTCATAAATGATTAAGTACAATCTTATTATGATTTAATATATTATCATAAATTATATTTGGTCTTATACATTATGCATCAGTTGCAAGTCATTTATTCATTTGTGAAGGAATACATTTAGATGAAAATGGTTTTTTTATTAGTTTTATTAATTGAATAATTTCTTCTATTATCATATATATTTGTATTATGTTTAGCTGAATTAATTGTTTATGATCGTATTGAAATCGATATAAGATTGGTGTCGGTTTCTTCTATACTGAATACGAGTGATGTGACTTTGATAAAACGTTAAATAATTGGATTAAATAATGACAAATCAACTTGATGGATATATTTATCTTATTAAAACAGAAATTGGATGATGTGCATATTGGTGGTCCATAGATATTCGGACATACGAGAATATTTGATGTGAAACAAGGTACTGTAAAGATATTTCGCGAATATAGACCATCATAGGCAACAAATCAGTATTTTTGTTCAAGTCAAAATAGTGAACAAAATGAACCAAGAATATTTTCTTCGGGAAAATGTGGTAATGAACATGGAAGATGCAATCGAAAGTTGAATATAGTCAAATGTGAAACAAGTAACTCCCATTTTTGACCATCAATAAGATCCAGATAACCTTGTGCAACAGATTCGAAATAATATAGACTAGGTATTTTAGATAAAAATTATTCTGCATAGATCATGGTCTTTTTTTGCCTTAATTGTAAAAAACAAAGAATATATATGTACAATTTTCAAATAACTATACACACCATGAATGTTTAGGATGAGCCACCTTAGATGGGACAATAATGATATGGTATCCGTTCACTTTAGATAATTATCATATGAAAGTTTGACATCAAGTGAATAAAGATTAGGAATTTGATTTAATATAAATGATAAGCCCCAGCAAAAGAAACTTTGAAGAGTTAAATGACGTAGATGAGGCAATGAAACCAAAACGAGATTATGAGCATGAGGTACTGCTAGTCGATTCATTCAAGGAATTAGGTTATATATAGCAGTGTATGTCTGTGTTTATTATCACTAATCGTAGTCATATCGAATGATTGAAGATAAATGAATTGTTCGAGTTTAAAATGAGAAAAGCACAGGTTTGATTGATTTGATGTATCATTGTCATGGGACAATATAACAGAAATGACTTGATGTAGTTGTATATGTTGGGAAAGAAGATCAAATTTCGATTTAAGAACAGAACGAAAGTTTAGTAAATAGTGAGAATAGCCAGCTAATACAGAATCCAGGTAATCACTTAGGCTAGAAAATAAATAGTAGATATCATGTACTCAAAGATAATCAAAAATATCGTGAAGTAATTCAATAAGCAACCGATCTATTCGACTCAAAGACATTGTATAATAAAAAATATCATGTGAGATAACTGATTTCTTTTTGCTCGTTCATGATGTAATAATATAACACACTGCTTTTTTTCTTGTTTCATTCTTTAGTCGATACTACTTGCAAACGTTCTTCTTTCAGATATGACACACATGTCGAGATGCAAATGATTCATCGTGTATTGGATACCGAAAAAAATATAGAATGAGTATAAATCTATGATGAGCGAATGAGATTGATAAATCAAAAGTTTTGAATAAAATGAGCAAACATGTCTTTCAATAGTC